ACACACACACACACACACACACACACACACACACACACACACACACATCAATGGTACTAGGAAACAATGCATCAGCCACTCTTAGCCAGGCTAAGAATTAAATAGGACAGACTGAGAATTAAATAGGACAAACTAACCAGCCTGATAAGACTGATAAGGGGAAAGGTTAGGTAGCTTAGGCCTCAGACACATAAGAAGGGACCCAAAGGCATATAGTAATGGCTTCTTTGATCTCTGAAATGAAGGGGCCCTAGCAAGTACCTAAAGCCCTTGGCTTTTCCTGAGCAACAGAACACCTACTGATAGATACTCCCTGACCCTAACTATGCACCACAGCCTTGGATGTTCATTAAGCCTGGCATTGCTGCCTCCTTAGCAGTGGGTACCTGTGGCCTCCCAAGATCCTGCTTGTGAGGGGAGTGGAGACTCTGCCACTGACCTATGCTGGCTTGAGAAACAACAGAAAAACAACAGAACAGATTTGTTGTTTTTAAACAGAATCCCAAACATTCGATTTTACCAATAAAGACTCAGGAGCCAGATGCTGGACTGAACGCCTGCTAGCTCAGAGATGCAGAGACTGACCTTCCCCCTCAGCTGAGCTGAGGTCCGAGGAGGAAGAGGCCCTTCTCTTTCTCTGTCCCTCTTTTGTGCTTTCCATGTGTCTCTCTATCCACCCTCTGGACTTCCTCTCACTCTCTATGTTTTGTTCACTCCCTGCCAACTGGCTGCTTGCTCTGCCTCTTGACCTATTGTTGACTTTATTTAACCCTACTTATGGAAAGCTTTTGGATTAACGGTGTGTGCTAAGGCTGAGCCATACCACAACTAGAAACAGGTTTTTCCATCACACAATCTCGGGTTTCATAGTGTGATCAAATATCCCGCAGCAACAGATAGCTGGAGCTCCCTCTCCCTTCAGAAACCTTACAAATCAGGCTTCTAATATTTATAAGAACTGAGAAAATAAAAACATAACATCAGCCAAGCACCACTCTGAGGTATAAGCAACCCTCAGGTTAGCTGCAGGTGAATGGTGGGAAAGACGAGTACTGAGGCTATCGTTGGCATTGCTTGTGACTGGGCAAGGGATGAGAAGAACAGATGAAATGGATGCATCCTGTCTGGTAACAATATTAAGAGTACAAGACAATAAGGGAGCCTAGAATATGGAGCTCATCAGTGTCAGTACAGGAGAACCCAGCAGAGAGAAGTAAGTATATTTAAATTTTGTTTAAAAGAAAGGAAAAGTTCAGTAGCAGCACTAGGAAAAGTCTAGAAAAAGCTCTGTTGCACATAGGTAGATGGATAGATAAAACAAATGCTGGTATAACCGTTCAGTAAAAACTAGTTAGTGATAAAAGGGCAAGAAATTCTGAGTAATGATACAGCGTGCATACGCCACGAAAACTCCATTAAAAGAGAAACAAAGCCAGACGGTAAAGAGTAAATACTGTGTGATTTTGTGTGCATGAAATGTATAGAACAGACACATGTGGCAAATTAGAGTTTCCTAGTGGGTGAGAATAGGGTGGAATGGAAAACGGGTTAATAAGTTATTTTAATGCGTAGGAGTTTCGGTGTAAGGTAGTGCAGATACTTTGGACATAGTAGAAGTGGTTGTATGCTTTCACTCTAGTCCAGAGGAACTGGTGATGTCTGGGGTGGAAATAGAGGAAATAGCCCTGGACTCTCCTCTTGAGAGGCAGTACACAACCTTGGAGGCTAAGAACTGGTTGGACAACTAGATTCAGACCAGTGAGGTGCCCACTCCAGTCCCCATGGTACCCCAGCTGCCTGCGCTTCTCTAGGCTTGTTTCCTTCCCCTGAGCTTCCCCCAAGCCTTTAGTGGCTGTTTATCCTGCTGTTGCTTTGCCTTTCATGCCTTTCTTGGATTGTATCAACAAACGGACTTTAGGATGACTTCCCTGATATTTGCGAAATGGTCAGAGATAGCTATCTTACTCTGAAGAGTCAATAGAGAAGAAAATAAAGGCCTGTTAGCTCTGGAGGTACCAGTCCTTTTGAGAATAGAACTCCTGGCTTCTCCGTGGCTTTCTTTCCCTCTTCTGCTCTCAGTTGAAATCGCTAGAGCTTCTAGTGCCCTGAAGCAGGCCATGCACTCTCCCATCTGCCCCACTGGGGACAGCTCCTTTGGTTGGCAGTTTGCTGTGCTGCTGTTGAAGTCAGCTTTTTAAGTCAGGATGCACTGCTGCTATCGCTTTGGCTTTCTTTTCCTTCCTTCCTTCCTTCCTTCCTTCCTTCCTTCCTTCCTTCCTTC